GGCAGGCGAAGATTCGGCTTACAGAGATGATCTAACACATCGCAAGTCAGAATCTTCCCCTTTTACCCACGAGACAGCAGCATCTACACGGAACCGAATCTGAGGTGGGGGGGGGAAGCACTCACTAACAACGACCTTCACGCGCGACCCATCCTGAAACACCAACCTCAACATCTCCGCCGCCTCTCTCAACTGCCACATCCCGCCCTGCCTCGCATCGACCCCGAGATCGAACGCCAGCCCCTGTCGCCCCAACCATCGCAACCCCTCGACGAACCCCGCCTGCACCATCACCCCGGCCGGCTTATCCTGAACCAGATACCGAACCCCGCAGACTTTGTGGAACAGAGCATCCCCCGTCCGCTCCCGCACCAACCCCATATACCTCTCCAACACCCCGGGACCCCCGGGCACCGGCGCCCACGGCACCATCCCAAGACACAGATGGCGATCCGCCGCCGTATGGCCCTCCCCGGGCACGGGGTCGCCCGCGATGATCCGCGTCAGGAGGGAGACCTCGTCCAGCGCGTGGGACCAGCCGCGGTTCTCCGAGTCTTCCTCCACCGAGGATATGCGGTCGGTTTCTAGGAAGATGAAGCCCCGGAGATAGGGCGCTGCGCCGGGGGCGGCGCTCGGGCTGGTCGGGATCGCGGAGGCAGAGGCAGTCGCCTGGCGGTACTCGGTGACCGAGTGCTGAGCGCCCAGTGGGTTTTGGGGCCCGTGCCAGGCCAAGGTCGGTAAGTGGGATTCGGGGAATAGGTGGATGTGTGAGTCCACGATGGGGATGGGAGTGGACATCTTGGTTGGTGGGTGGGTGGGTTGGTTTGAATTGGTTTTGGGGGGTTCGGCTGGTTTCTTCTTCCCTTAACAATCAAGGAGGGACTGCGTCTTGGAGTGATATTGTGTTGTGCTAGCCTTGGGTTGCCGAAAATTGCGGGGTAATCTTAAGGACGATTGAGGAACTCTACTGCGGTGCTTAGCCCTGAAGTAAACCGGAGGCGCAAGTTGACGAGGGTGTTTTCGAATCGTGGGAGGAGTAAGCTCGAGCTTCGCAGAACACGCGGTATGCAGTACAATGAAGCTTGGGAGGAACATTCCTTCAGGATTACGTCGCGTGTGTGCGGGGGGGGGGGGGGAAGAGGGGCAATGAGGAGCTCGAGATCTTCTGACTTGTTTACTCCTACTTCGCTTGTCAGGCGATCGATCGGTAGCCATTACTCCGAATAGACTGTCTCCGACTCCACTCTCCAACAAATATACTTGTACATAGTATCTCCAACCGTTCTCCACATCTTATCTGCTCTGCTCGTCTCCCGGTTTGTCCTCCGCAGAAGATTGAGCGCCAGTTTGTTCCATGGAATCGTCCGCTGGTCGATGGCCCTTATAGAACGGCGCCCGGGTCAACTCATGTCGCCCTCATTGCTGATAGCGTGATCAATGAGCCCATGGACCTCTATTCAAGTCTGCCATATGCTCCGGTATGCTTAACAACCCACCTACGATTTTCCATTGCACGGCGGCAACCTTTTAATCGTCAATCTTGCGAATTGTTAAGTTGCGAAGCAGATCCGAGTGTTGAGCGGTCGAAGCCAAATATGTTATGAATTGGCGGGGACAATACTCATCTGTCAAGAAGCCTGGGGTCAAACACACGAGAGAGTCAGGACATACTCCCAGAAGACATACACTCCGAGGACAGCAGGAGAAATGCTTCAAAAAAAAGCATCAACCGACTTTCCCCAAAGCTATACACAAAAAGGCCAGGAAGGGAGAGAATCTCATGCTTCCCGTACTCCGGGAAAGCAAAAAGTCATGACCTACGCAGGGCTCGAACCTGCAATCTCTTGATTCGTAGTCAAGCGCCTTACCATTGGGCCAGCAGGCCTTGCTGTTGGAAAACCGCTGTTTAGTTAGGTCTACATTACAAATCAAGGACTGACTTAGAACCGATTAGATTGAATTGTGGCTAATCGACAGGACTTGATCTCATATATCTGCATGGGTAAGCTGCCCACAACCCACGGCACACGTCCATTGTACGGTTACCCGGACAGCGGAACGAGGTGAACAATCCTCCCAGTAAGGCTTGTCGAAGCCCGCGTGGAACCATGGCTTCTGCGTGACTTTTGTGTCACCGGGCGCAAACAAAGTATACGAACTTTGGGCTATCCGCTGCGATGACATCAGTAGTACTCTAGTACACGAAGCAGAGGCGGCCGATGTACGAGAATGATCGATGTCAAAGGAAACACGAAATAAGCTGCAAAGCTGCCAGGCTGAGATTGAGATAAATGAAAATATGATACGCTGAGCACAGAAAAACATAGAAAGTCACCAGCGGCAAGGGTATAAATGAAAGAAACCACCCAGTGCAACGCTATCTAGCCTTTAAAGGTAAAAAAAAAAGTGGAAAATTTGTTGAAAGAGGCAAACGCAGCGCCCAAAATTCATCGAACTCGCTTGCTATTGCCGGGAGTCGTAGCTAAAGACGGCCTTTTCTGACCAGCACCTCCGTCAGTAGATGCCAGAGCACGGATCAGCGCGTCCAGCCGGATGATATAAGCCTTGGGCGCGCGGTCTACCTCCACCCTGCGCAGGATCCCCTTCAACTTGTTCTCAAACTGACGAAGGTCCTTGAGGGGAAGTTGCTCGAGAACATCAAGGACAAAGAAGTCTCCAGTTTCGTGGGTCCTGCCAATGAGCTGGTGATAGAGATTGCGCTGGTCCTCGTCCTCGCCGTCAAATGTCTCCCGACCCCAGTCATTGCCCTCCAAGGGATCCCGATTACGGCCGCAGATGTCTTCCAGTAATGTAATGAGCGCTTTTGCAGCTCCATCAGTGCCGTACGGTGCCCGCGCCATAACACTCCTCTGGACTCGGTGGACATGGCCTTGGATCTCCTCCAGCACAGTGCTGGCCGTTAAGTCTTCGACTCCCGTCGGGAGCTGTCCGGTCCGACAGTATCGATCGAAGTCGGCGAGTAAGCTGCGCAGTCTCTGCTGGACCTTGTCAAAGTATATCACCGCGCAAGCCCCGATGGGCATCGCTTTACGCAGGCTGGCGTAAACTGCATCGTCGTGGACCGCTAGCCGGAACAAGGTAGCCTCGAAGTCCCCCTGCACCACGCACTGCTCGGGCGTGCGCGACTGCCCCGGGTCATCACCGGCAAGGTCCGGACGGAAATCCTCAGGCAGTATGGCGCTGTCAAAGGCGGACATGATATCCCTGACCATCTCCTGACGATTCATCCCCCCGTGGGCTTCGAAGTGCGAATACGGCCAGTCAAATTCGTGCGCAATGGCAGGTATCTTGCAATCGAGCAGTGGTCTGATGCGTTCAAGGTTCGGTAAGCGGTCATGGTCGGATAGGGGAATGTCGGGGGTAGGAGGTCGGGAGAAGAGGCGGCCATGAAGCTGATCGTGAAGCCACTTCTGACTGTTAGTATCGAAGGGTAGTAGAAAAGGAGAGCTTCTCCGACAAGTGGACTAGAGTCATACTGACATAAATATGTTGGCAGGGTACACTGGATCGACTCGAGTACGTCGGACAAGTGCAAGTGACAGACTCTGCGCCGAGATGAACGTGAGGCCGCTCTGACAACTGGAACCCGTATCCTGTCTGCGTCTCATGGCAGCGGGCCACGTCGAAGTGACTCGTCAATCCCACCAGAGCTCTGGCCTTGGAACCGACATCCAGCCTGGAGAGGTCGTAAGAAATGCCCGACTCGCCATGTACAATCGAGTGTGCCGGCGGGGTTGCCCTTTCGTCAGCGCTGGAATCGCTTCTACTATCCGAACCATCGCTGTCATCACTGTTCTCGGCCTGGTTTCTGATGATCTCTTTTCTGGGGGGAACTGTTGGCATGTCACCGGTAATTGACAGTCTTCGAAGTTGGCGAGTAGGAGTAGACATGAATACTCGGTCGTGCTTCGGCAAAAGCCAGACTTCAATCAGATGTGCAGCTGTGTAGCTGTGTAGCTGTGCAGTGGGGACAATAGCGGACATGCGAAACTGACATTATATAGAGTTTGCTCCGAACCAGGGACGAAAGCGGGTACTCTTTGCTGCCAGTGCAGACATCCAACTGGCACAGTGACAATCACAGGGACTTGAGCAGTCCTTATCGCTTGGCACTCATTAGATAAAACTGCAATTGCAGTGCCCGCAATAGTGATAATCACAACTGGATGATTATTTGCCTACTAGATAACCCTGCCACAGGATTCATGCCTTCCAAGTGGTGATTCTGCGCCGCAGAAGAAGACGGGTCTCGGTACTGTATGAGCGGAAATTCATCCCGACGCAGCTGAAATTAGTTGCCCGGAGCATTTTCAACACTTCTTGTCAATATTGCCAGTCAGCTTTCTTCCTTGAAGCCATTGGTTACCTGAGCTCTACAATACCAATATGGCACAACGTATATTTTTTCAGTTCCACACCGACTGGCTGCGAAAAGACTTGGGTCGCTCCGTGCCTCGTATTGCGGACCAAATATCAAGGTGGGCCGGTGTAGATCACCACTGGTAGCAACCTGTCAAAGACTGCGCCTCAGGGTTTGCGGTCGACGTCTCTACTGTTTCAGTCGCGGCAGGCTGAGAGGTGAGTTGGTCGATACGCGAACAAAGCACTCAAGATTTGTGGTTGTGGTGCCATCGCTGCGCTGTGCCGCTGGGCCCATCGCAGCCACTCGACATGGCGTGCGGCGCATCTCCAGTTATACAGTACATACAGCCTCAGCTTGAAACCTCCACACTTCGTAGCAGAAGACCATTCTCTCTGACTGTGCCGCAGTCCCCGTATTGGCATTAAAATTATGTGGCTAACGCCACACTAGGATACCCCCACGGCCCCAGTAGAAAGATGGGAGAACATGAAAAGGAAGAAGCTTAAGGCTCCACGGAACGTCGAATTACATATTAGATAGAAACACCGATGATGTATGTACTGGGATAAAGCTGATTCTACACACAACAAGCTTGTGCTCATGCTCATGTGACCTTCCTTGCAGCGTTTCTCTTCTTCGCATTCTCCAATGCCTTGCGAAGTCGCTCTTGATGCTCGTTGTCTTCCACAGGCTGGCCCGAGGCAGGCTTGGTGGCGGAGCCGGGACTCGGTGAGCGAGCATTCTTCGGTGGCTGTACAGGCTCCTGCAATAGAGCAGGCGATTGTTCGGAGGCATTATCGTGGCCGAGGGAACGGAGAAGATCCTTGATGCTAGCGGCCACCTGAGCTGGCCCTTCCCTAACACTCTCAAGCTTGGATTCTAGATCATCCTGGATCTTTTTATCTTCTTTCTGTTTCTCAGCCTCTAGCTGACGAAAAACATCGGTCTCAGCGTCTGAGCATCGAGCCTCAGCAACAGATACACCATAATCGGCGTCGTTGAGAACTGCATCAGCGACACCGAAATTCTCGAGTATGGACTCGGAGTCCTCGCGCAAGCAGTCAATGAACTGATTGACTGATTTGAATAATTGCACAATTTCACTCTCTGAGAGAGGAGAAGAACGAAGGCTTGCCGCATCGATTCGTGATACCTTTACAGTGATGTCATCGAGAATCCTCTGGTTTCCTCCTAGACCATGCATGATAACATCATCGAAAGAGTCCATCAATCGATTGGCTCTAGCATCCCGTTCCCGAGCAGCCTCCAGCTTATTGCGCTTCTCCATATGATCGAATTCCTGATCCAGCCGTTTGAGGGCAGCCGAGTCGCCCATAAAAACAAGAGGCCGCCTCTCAGCTTTCTTTCGTCGACGTTCGCGATCTAAAGCAATCTCGAGGCGCTTCTGATAGCGGACCTCCAGGTCACGATAGATCTCATTGACAGTCTTCATTGTCTTAGACACGTGACTATGGTCATTTGCCGTTCTCTGGATCGTATTGTCACCGTCGTCAAGCTGGGCGAGAGCGGCTTCATAATCAGTTTGCAATGCCAGGACCTCCTCTTCCAATCGTTTATCTAGCGGGTCAAAAACGTGTGCAATAAAGTCGTTCAGTTCTTGTCTCTCCTCCTCCAGCTGGCAGCGAGCCTCTTTCTGACGGAATTCCTCCTCGAGGACATTGATATCAGCATACCCTATTTCCTTTGCGTTGAAAAGGGCATCAATGTGTCTTTCGGACTCTTCCTGACGTTGGACACGTTTCTTCTCCAGTGCGTCCCTACGAGACTTATTCGAAGCAACCCAGGTATTTATCGCCTCGTGAATGTAAGTGAAGTCATTGGTTGTTCCCTTGGGCTCCATTTTCGTGGTAGTTCCAATACCGCTCACAGACTCTTTGCTCAGTGACGATGACACGATTGAGCGTAATTCGTCCAGGGGGTCATGAAGTCTGCCTTGTCTCAGGGAGGCAGGTAGTGGTGGGAGAGTCGACGACTTCTGGGAAGCTGTTTTTCGGTACGCAATACTTTTCTCCCTGATGAGACCGATGAATGTTTCGTCCTGCCCTGCTTGATTTGGTGTCTCTGCAGGGAACGAGAGGTCTTCTGATGCAGGAAGCAAGCCATTGGACATCACCCGCCCGCTTTCAGCAGATGCTTGACGCAAGGCTGAATAAGCTTGATATGCCGGACGATCAAACACGAGGGCATCTGAGCCTCTCTGAGGACCCTCCGTGTAACGGAACGGCGTGTAAATCGGCTGTGGAGGATTGGTAGCAAGTGGAGAGAGATCCTGCTTATGTGCCGCAAGATCAATCATCGTAGGCGGTACTGAGGCAGGTCTTGGGGATGACATCTGTGCGCCAACGGAAGGGGCAACAGCGTGTGATGGGGAACTTTTCATACTTGCAGGGCCAGGTGTGTGAAGCCTAAGGATTGGTCGGCCACCCGGACTGTAGCTGCCATCTCCTGGTTCGTCCGCAGTAGTAGTAGGTACGGCAAAGTCCTCAGCTTCCACCGGGCACAGTCCAGATTCCACAGGAGGGGACACACGATCGATTTCGCTGCTGTTTGCATGAGAAGTTGGTGTCACCGATGCTGAAGGAGAAGTGCCCGTCGTTGTCTGGTTGGCACTTTTTGAGTGAGGCTCAATGCCATACAAGACTTCACGTAGCTTCGCCTCTTTGGCCATGAAACTTGCAAAAATCTCAAATCGATCTGAATCGGTATCTGCCGTCGCCTCCTTCCGTAGCATTGCCACATATCGTTCCAAGGAGGATTTAGACCAGGTATCAAGATCATTAAAGGGATCAGGCCGTTCCAATGGCGCAAGTGCTGTCCGATATGTTCCTTCGACTTCACCGGCCTTACTTTCGGTCCCTTTCAAACCAGTCTTGCTCTCTTTCCACGCTGCATGTTCTGATTTTGCGTCATCGTCTAGGTCATGGTTTTTTAAGTTTGTTTTAAGCGGGCGCGTCCATGCTTCAATGACACCATCAATACTCTCCACGGTTTCTGAAGTAGAGATAGAGCTATGGATTGACTCAGTACCATCCACCCTGGCATTCATGCCAAGCGAGAGGGGTGTTTCGTGATCGTCCTGTACTGTATCAACACTCACGGGGGAATCATGAATATCCGACTGCGTGTTGGTATACCCTGTGTGCAAGTCCGATATAGGTGGCGCGGAACTACTAGGGAAGTTATGAGGTGCTGAATTTGCTTCAGGTAAGCGAGAGGGGGGTCCCGAGCCCACTGGGCTTGCGTGTTCACGCTTGGGAGCTGAGGCCGCAACGTCGTCAATGTTTCCTGGCGTCGGCGATAGATGCTCCCAGGCAGAAGGAGTACCAGGGCTAAGAGCGGAGGCGCTAGTAGCAATTGAAAAGGGATTGGTTTTGGGTGGTACCGGAGGCGCGGCGACAGGTAGCAATTCAGGGGCTATGCTAGTGGTTGTTTCATGAACCCACGGAGACCGGGTTTCTGGATGTCCAATGACATGTGATGAATGGGATTGCTGTGGACTTGTAAGTGGAGGCAGTCCTGAATCAGGCGCTGGAAGCCCTACGAGATGGGCTTGAATTGGTGCTGGTGGGCTGGGCTGCTGTACGGGAGAATCATGAGGTTGATTGAAGACGGCGCTAGAATATGGTGGAGGTTGTAAATGATTCTGCGTTTGGCCGCCGGGCTGAGAAACAACGCCCTGGTAACCGAAAGGAATAGGAGGTGGTGGCGGGGCCTGGGTTGGTGCGAAATCAGTCTGTTGATGGGATGCAAATGGAGGCGCGCTCCATTGCGGATATGGATTCGATGCATCTTGAGCTGCCTGCACTGGAGTTGCCGACGAAGGCCTTTTGACATCCAGCGAGCCACCGGCGGAAGAATTCGTCTGGATAGAATGGGACTGTGTCGTGCTTGGAGGTCGCGGCTGGGGAGTTTGTCAGTTACGAAAGCCCCCAAATTCTGGTAATACTGCCAGGTGTATGTGTATACAGTGTACTGTACTCTAGTACACTTACCGGGAGTGGTGGGGGGCTCGGGGCCTGAAACTGCTGCCTGTTGTATTTCACTCCCCATGAAGTTGGGTCCATTCCTGCCATATTGGAGGTTGGAGAGACATTTGCGCCCGCGTTCTTCACCACAGGAGAACTGGCATTCGGTCGCGATCCAGCCTGATTAAGTGTTGGGCGAGCCGGAAGAGGGGGGTTTGCCTGCCATGACGGCTGCGGGGGAATGTGCGACGTCGCAGTACTTGGAGTAGTAGTGGCCGACGTGAGGCGCCATTCTGGTTGTGAAGGCCCTGTATTCGACCCGTACATCTCCTTATCAATTTTTGTGTTTTCAACAGAGAAGTTCGCCTGTGCGAAGTAGATCCTCTCCCTCAAGAACAGTGAGGCGAAAAAGAATGACAGAGCGGGAAGAAGAGAAGTGGCTGGCTGATCTAAGAGAAGCACGAGGAACAGAAGAAACAGATGGATGGATGATTGTCCTGCTGACTTTGGGTGGCACGAGATCAACTTAATAGGAAGCAAGCTGAGCTGTACTGTACCCCCTTTCCCGGGTGACCCAGTTTATCTGCGGTCTTGGTATTATTTTATCGAACCCTTCGGCGTATGGATGGGGGAGGGGGAGAAGAAGAGTCGGAAGGAGAGCCGAGCGAGGCGGTGCCGAACACCCACTGCAATACCTACAATACCGTGCCGACTTCACTTATTCTCCATCCACTACCCTCTTCTTCTACTTCTCTCCTTTTCAAGCCTTCGGATAATGCGAACGAAAAGCATACCACTTTATTTCGCCTCGTTCTTACATGGTAGACAGCTCAGGCTGAGCGCACACCTTCATTGCCCAAGAGTCTAAGGACCACCTGAAATATGAGCACGGGCAGAGGCAGAGGTTCCAAGGTTCTTTTCCGTCCTTTGTTTACGCGCGCGATGCTGTCTCGGAGGGACATTTTCTTAAACATGGACCACTTCCAAATCATTAGTGGCTGGTGAGCCTTACGAGCTCATTCCCCGCAGTTTACATGCTTTGTCTTCCTTTGTGCCCTTTGCGTTCTTTGTTGCTCGAAGTCGCGCGAAGTCGTAGCCCTACCACCATGTCTAAAAAGGTCAACACACCCAACAAGCGTTGGAGCAAACGCGTAGTTCTCTTCTATCAACCCGAAATTTCATTTCCAGAAGACTCTTATCGTCTCTCGAGCACAGTACCTGGGAGAGAACCAGCAATTGCACCATGTCGGACAACAAAATCCCTCCTGACTATCATCTGCAGCGTCCCCCTAATAACGCGATACTGCCGCTGCCGCTGCCCCCGAGGCCCAACTTGTACGATGAGGTCGAATGGGGACCGCACGTGAACCAGAACGATGCCCGTATTGCCCACCGCTTCTGGTTTCGCGCAGACTCGGCGATTCAAGCAGACCACAATACTGCAGGGGAGAGGCCATTCTTGCGCCCAGTCGATGACGAGGAGAGGGCTGCGGACCAGATGCATGCCCTAGCACGTAACATTTACAACGACCTGATGCGTCAACATCTCGCCCCGGTTAACCCCAATGATCAGGGGACAGCATGGACGAATCACTCGTGGCAGTTCCATGACATCTTCCCAAAGGACGAAAGGTCCCAGGACGATGACGAGATTATCCGGTGGACATTCTTTGCACCCAAGGCGACCCAGTCCATGAAATCTGACCAACTCAAAGAGGCTCTTGTTGAGAGGGGCCTCGATCCCAAGGGTACAGTGGCTGTACTGCGCCAGCGTCTTGAAGCATACCAGACAGCAGGGCCGGAGTGTTATCGGGCCCTGCGGCGCAGTGACCTCTCCCGTTGGGGAGCTGAAAGGACAGACATCAGTCGCCTGTTCGCGATCAACATCTCAGAGGATGAGACAGCACGTACAGTTGACCTGTACACTTGCGCCATCCTCCGAAGCCCATACAACCCTGTGTACTGGATGGGTCGAGCTTATTGCCACTACCGACACGCCATGGTTGACCTTGCCATTGGGGACGCATATCGAGCCCAGCTCCTACTTGAGGTGTTAGTCAATCCTTTAAGACGAAACGTCCAACCTGGCCTCTATACTCTGGTCTGGCATGCGATTGAGCAGCATATTGAGGTCGGCGGAGTGCAAGATGAGATTCGCTTGCGGCGCCGTGGCAATGGAATCAACTACTTTATTCCAACCATGCGCAAGGCACTTCAGAATATTATCTGTCTCAGTCTCATGGCTCTTCGAGGGTGGAATGATCAACCGCACTTCGAGCAGGACCTTGTGGACAAGGTTATCATGAATGATCGCGATACGCTACCGTCCAAACGGCGCCCTGAGGTTTTCAAGAAGATAGAAAAATCTTCGACGTGCAATTGGAAGTTGACCAATGACTACGCTCGCAATACTCTGTATCACGAGCGACGTAGTGGGTGGAGCTATGGAGACAGACCATATCCCTATGAAGCAGATGATACGGTGAGATTGCCCAAGACCGGCGAAGGGGAAGGCTTTGCGGAAAAGGCAAACGAGTTATTCGTCACCAAGAATGCCAGCCTTCCCTGGAAGAAGTGCAGGATCGCGATGGAAAGAGAGCAAAGGTATATGATGTTGGCGACCGAAGACATCGCCAAAGATGAACTCATCTGGGTCGAAATACCTTCAGCCCGGGGCCACCTTACCATCAAACGACCGCCACTTCCCCCAGACCACGTCTCCGCGAGGATACTCGATTGTGATAACTGCCGAAGAATGATCACTTCCAATGAGCAGCGTAGGCAGATAGATGAGCTCAGCCAGGCGAGAAGGGCTAACCCGAAAAACAAAACCACCAGAGAAGCATGCGGCTGTATCGACAGTGACCCACCTATTATATTCTGCCCTGCTCGAGGAGAAGACGGCGACGAAACCTGCGCTGAGAACGCTCGGAGACGATACCATTTCCGTGCATGTGGGAAGGATTGGGAATGGCTCCACGACGCCATGCGACCTATCGTCTACAGATTCAAGGATAAAGAAACGTGGCTCTCACATTCCAACGAGATGCATGGCACCGTTTTAAGCCTCCTGCTCCGGGAAGTCCTCGACATAACCCTTCTCAGACGGAAGACAAACCCGACTCTTCACGCACACGAGATCGACGAGCTCTTCGCCCTCGAAGGCCGCGCGGACTGGGCCAACCAGAGCTTCCCCTTTACATTCGCCGCCAACATCCAGGTCCCCATTGACATCCTGATGACCCTGGGCGTCGACGTATTCCGGGACCTCAGTTTCGATACCTGGGTGATCCAGCGGGTGCTACAGAAACTCCTGGTGAACGCCGTACCTTGGGATCAGGGCCTACGCGTCAAGATCAACCGAAACGACAAGATCAAGAAGGGCTGGGGGTTCCCAAGACCCAGTCAACAAAAGGGATGGGGTGACGAAAAGTACGAGAAGTACGACCCCACCTGTCGGTTTTTATACCTGTTTCCGGGATTCAGCTTCTTCGATCATGCCTGCAAGGACAACGGCAATGCGCAATGGGGATATGACACGGAGATCCCCAATCGGTTGCTCGTATGGGCGACTAAACCGATCAAGGCCGAGGAGGAGATCCGCATCTCGTATATTTCCGATCGAGATAGAGACGAGAGAGAACCTGTCCTACAGCGTGTGCTGGGTAAGCCATGTAGCTGTCCTGGGCCAACACATGCCGCACCCGGTGGTCCTGCGTCACCCGACCCCCATATTCCTACAGGGCCATCAAAAGCGCGGACTAAGTCTTCTCGGCCCCGACCGCACAATTCTTCTGAAGATGATTCTTCTGAAGACGAGTCCAGTTGACGGAGGTTGGAACTGCTCAGGGTGGAACTGCTCAGGGTGGAAATGCTTTGGGCAAACAGCAAGATCCTTCCGGGGCCCAAGGAGTGCAGGGAGAGACTATCCAGGGAGCTACTCAGTGAGCGTGAGTCGGACATATCGGTCAAGAACTGTCGTTATCAGGCCACGCTCAAATTATAGCCATCGAAAGTATGAACTGGTCTCCTCGTGTATTCATCTCAACATGTCTTGACTACCGTGTGCCGTACCCTTTCTTTGGTTTGCTACCGCACTATTGCCGATGATGTTTTGCTGTATTTGTTCTGTTAACTTATAAATTGTGTCGTCATCTGTTCCTCCTCATCTGATGTAAGTATACAAACTTGAATAGCCACGAAGTGCTCCGTACACAAGTATGAATTAACACCCACCACGCAAAGGCGAGCATGCTTTTTGGTCAAAACGAAATTCCATTATATGCACACACAAGAAGAAGAAAAACAAGCCAGACACAAATGAAACCCAATCATATAGAATACAGTGTTTATCTTTAGAAAGCCGTATAACAACGACCCCATGGGAAAAAGACCTTGGTAGTCTATCCAGAGCATCACAGGCCGATGGGTGTGAGGATGGGCTAGAAAAGGGAAAACCAGCATGAAACTTAGCAAACACATACATAAATCGCTCCGTATGACAAGATATGTCAGTGGTAAGTATCCCGAGGGAGCGATGAATACTGGGCGTCTCAAGCTCCCCTCCCTGCTAATCGTTCACTGAACAATCTTTAAACCTGGACAGGCACCGTGAGACGTCTTCCCAGCTTCTCAAGCTCGCCGATCACACCGCCACCAGCCAGAGTCCACTTCTCATTGACCCATTCTTCACTAACCTGCTGTCTCAGAAGACCGCTGCGCGCGAAGTACTCCATGAAGCCCCGGGCTTCTTCGCGAGAGATACCGGCAAGGGTCTGAAGCGTCAGGGTTCCCTCCGTGGGAACGGAGGACTTGGGAGACTCAAACGCAGCAAGCACACGCTCGTCAGGATGACTGAAGGCGGTGGGCATGGGGTAGTCCGGGCTGGAAGGATACACGCGGTTTTGGCGAGCGGCCACCCGCTCGAGGGCAACATCAAGACTGTAGATACTAGGGCTGTTGGAGGCGGAGGTGGCGTAGAGTAGGATACCACCGTTGGGCAGAACGGACTGCTGATTGTTGCCGGGCTTCAGCAGAGAGAGGAAGTGCTGGACGAAAACAAGGTCATGAGCGTGAATGAGCTCGTACTTGGCAGTGCGGTATTTGGTCTCCTTCATCCAGTGGGCCAAGCCGTCGACGGCGACGAGCATAGGAGGACGAGAGGCGAAGTCCTTCTCGAAGCCAGGGGCGGGGGATGTAGCCGTGAGCTCAGTCCACAAGGCTTGGAAGACGGGCCAGGCGGAGGCAGGGTCTTGAATCCCAAGGTTGGCGAGAGCCTCGAGTGTCGTGTCGCGCTTCAGGGGAGACTTGAGGGCAGGATGTTCACGAGAGACCTTCAACTTAGAGAGAACTTTCTGGTTGGCCGTCACAGTGCGGGACAAGAGAGCGGCAGTGGCCTGGTTTTGAACATATACGTTGGGGTTCTTCTCCGAAAGGGGTGCGTAGCTAGTGTTGGCCAAAACCAAGTCCTGACCTAAAAGCCTTAGGTTAGTGATTTGTGGCATGGTACATCAAGAGGGGTCAAGCATACATTCGGGAACAGTCACAACAACCCATTCCTTGGTGAAGGCCATCGACATGGCCTGAAGGAGGTGA